TACAAAATTTAGGAATATCGTATGAGTGAGTATTGTAATGTGTGTCTTTCTTAACTGTGCCTGTGATGGCCAGCTAAGTCTTGGTACTAGCAGCTGAGGTACTAGGCTGCAGGCTTATTTCGCCTAGCCTAGGCCTAGCTATTGTAGCCTAGACAGTGCCTGTAGGCCTATCTAACCTAGGCCTAGAACTCACAATATGATATTTTTACCTATTGTATGGTATTCCTCTCATAATTAAAATTTAGGCCTTTTGTGATTCGCGAAAGTTTAATGTCGCGAAAACGGCCGAAATTATCAATTCGCGAAAGTTTCTGGTTTTACAGTAACTTACCAGCTCGGAGAATTTTGATCTGATATTGTTCTGGTAGTAAGAATTTTCTTCTTTTAAATAATAATACTAATGACAAATCATATACAAATTATTACGATTTCTACATAAAGATCACGTTGTTTATTGTTTACCGTAATCTGAAGCAGAACCTGCAAAGCGATCGAATACTAATGGAACTAGAGAAATCACTAACTTGCCGAATTAAAGCTAGTCATGCTAGACTGTATTTTCTTCGTTTTTTACTCACTGTCGCTCACAGCTTTCCAACATTTGCTACGAGGTTAACCTTTTAACACACTTTACTGTGTTCTGATTGGCACGCACTCTGACGTCCAATGCTGGATTTTCGGGATTGACAAGATGAACTGGCATTGCTAAGTTTTATTTTCCATTGGGTTTTCTATGTGACATTCGGTAATTTTACAACCAATGGGCATTAACTCTCTTTTATATTTATTATAGTTTATCTTACTAATTTAAGACTACAAAATATTATTTGATGGACAATCTTTTCACATGTGTGCATTGTCATTGAGGACATCATTTTTTGACATTTAAAAGCTCTGGTAAAATAACTGTAATAAAAAAATAGGCTAGACATAGGCTAATTAATTAAAAAAATACAGCAGTATAAATAAGTTACTGTCGTGGATAGCGAGTGGAAGAGCAGACTCACATGAAGTCAAGTGTACGTTTTTCTTATTGAAAAACAGCTCCATTCTTTAAATTAATGGTCTAAACTCGTGTTTGTCATTCACAAATTATCAAGCAATACATTGTTTTATTCCAGTAAGCTACAGCAGTCTTTCTGCACGTACAAATAAACAATATGCTTTTGTTTCGTAGGTTCGCTCCGCGTAGACTTCCTTAGATTGTTTATATCATCAGGCTACGATGTATCTACGATTACGAGGCCTGCGCGCAGGTAAAATTGCAATAGTTTGTAGCGTTACTGTAGTTACCCCAATACTGAGTCTGACATGTTTCTGAGGCAAATTTTTACTCCATTTTTCTCTAAAAGTGAAAATTTCAAGTTACGTTGTTTTGCCACGGAATGGCCGAGGTATGCTTATTATCATATATACATATAATTATAATGTAATATTATTTATTATTATATATACCTCTGGCGTAGGAGACCTACTCTAGGCTAGGCCTAGCCTAAGTTAGGGCAGGGAGTTGTTGTTATAGGCTAGCACTCTAGGCCTAGGTAGCCTCGGCCCATAACCGACTTGGCCCATAACCGACTTGGCCCTTAGTTAGGCCTACACCAACTCGGCCCTTGTCAACTCTGCCCTTAGCTGACTCTGTCTCTTATACACATCTAATTCTTACCAAACATCCAGATTTTTCTATAGTCAGCAGATATGACGTTACTTCCGCCTTATCTTTGAGAAAAATACGCTTACATATGGAAGGCAATAGCCGCCAAAATACAAAGTAAAGCGCACTGATCTACAATATGGCTGGATAAAAGTACTTATTGGCTGGTTTTAGTGAAGCGATTGTAGCCCAAAACGTCACAAGTACGTTATCACAAAGCAAGCTTTGGAACCGGCATGACGATCACTAAAAACGCGACATCGCTTAATACGCTTTTGTAAACTGCACCAAATATGACTCGCACGTGTTGAGTGTTTCAGTTTTATTTTTTATTTAACTATTTCAACAGAGATGTGTATAAGAGACAGTATAACACGTTATCGTAGTCTGGAGTTTCTCAATATATAATTATAATTCCTTGTGAAAGTCAGCCATGCAACGGAAACATGTGCTTCAACAGTCGGATGGGTGTGAGCAATAGATTCAATAGCTAATACAGCTATCCTTGTTGATCGCTTGGTCTGGACTTTGGAATGCACCTGAAAGAAAGAACTGTAGCTAAAAATAAGATTAGGCTATGGGAAAAGTTCTCGGGGCTTCCTGACTGGGAATTTTTCGCGTGAACGTTCTCAGACTGACTAGAAAGATATATAATAAAGTTTTATAAACACTAATATACTATACAATTAATGTTTCCATGATGAAATACAACAATCCTGCACTGTACACACTCTGTCCGTAGCGTGTTTACACAGGAGAAGAATTGTACTTTATTATACAATAGCAGCGCATTATTTACTTTTACTATATTTCTGTTTGCTGACAATGGTGTAAATAGGAAAAAACTAGCTAACATATTTTGAAGTTAAAACCGTGGACGGTGTTTGTTTGTTTGTTTTTTTTTACAACCCATAGCATATGGTAGTATTGGTCCGTGTTCTAATTCTAATCCTTTGCTGTATAGGCACTGTTATCGTCAAAACCAATGAGCCGTGTCTGGGCCGTTACTATCGTCATGCTTAGGTGCTCAGTCAACAGTCATTGGTCAGTTTGTAAACAGGATTACCGAAAACAGCGTGTGGTTGCATAAACGAACTTGCAGTAACATCGTTTACCCGGTTACCGCGGGTAACGATCACGAAACCGTGGTACACGAACTACAATAAAATTGGCACCATCCCTAAGAATTCTAAACATTCGACTTGCAAACTACTTTCTTTACAGGTGGATAACTATTTACTTTCAATATTTCATAAAAACAAAAATTACGATTTTGTTTATATGTTTACTTTCAGAGTTATGGTCCCAGAAAGATGGGGAAATTATAGTGATTTTGGCCACGGACAAGGTAAACAAATAGCGCCCTTTATCGGTGGCTGTAGAGAATGTCATATATTAAGTGTTAATTAATTGTATAATTAATGCAATCAGAATACAAATAAATACATTTATGGAATCTTTATTTAAATTATAATGTGAATAAACTAATTTCATTGACGAAATATAGTTTGACTTGAATAAAATGAGATGTTGCTTCACGATTTCATATGCAAATTAGCAGCACGTGACACGACGGTCCTTGTGTGCAGTGCGTTGAAGATATGGAAAGAAGTAGTACGGAGTTCGTGTAGGCCAGGACGATCGTTTTTTGAAGCCTGAACAAAATATACTCTTCTTTCATATACAGTATAACAATTACACCCTAACAATAAATAAGGCCACTGTAACATCAATCTGTACCATGGAGTGTAACTGGCATTAAAACACCTAAATTACTGTTTTCCCAAGCTTGTATTTAATTTACTTTGTTATGTTATGTTTAAGTTATGTACAATACAGTGTTGTAACTGTAATCTTGAAAGATGCCTATGCTATCTTGAAAAGAAGCAAATGGGCTTTTTTTTAGATGGGCTTCTTTTTGAGGCTAATTTTGCAAACTAAAAAGTGGGGGGGGGGCCCCTTCAATTCGAGATGGGCTTTATCTCGAGATTAAGCCAAGTGGGCTTCAATTCAACGTTTAACAGTTTAACAATTACATTTTTATTTATACTTTATTTTATCAATTTGACTTTATTAAAGATGATTTCCCTGTACAGTACCCCACAACCCGTGGCCAACGTTGCACTGTGATAGCCAATTCACGCATTCATGACACTACTCGGCGTTCCATACAATAAAACTCTTATTTGGGCATTGAATATCTTGCGGCCTAACTGGTGTGTGGCCGAACCAGACGTCATTCAACAAAAAATATGTTTTGGTGTTAAACACATCGCATTGTTGTCCATAATATTGCATGATGTGTTTAACAATTACATTTTTATTTATACTTTATTTTATCAATTTGATAACACAACCAGACCATGGACCAATGATGTGTTTAACAATTACATTTTTATTTATACTTTATTTTATCAATTTGACTTTATTAAAGATGATTTTCCTGTACAGTACCCCACAACCCGCGGCCAACGTTGCACTGTGATATCCAATTCACGCATTCATGACACTACTCGGCATTCCATACAATAAAACTCTTATTTGGGCATTGAATATCTTGCGGCCTAACTGGTGCGTGGCCGAACCAGACGTCATTCAACAAAACATATGTTTTGGTGTTAAACACATCGCATTGTTGTCCATAATATTGCATGATGGGATAAAATATTTTGAGGGAATTTTAGGATAATTTATCGGAGAAATTGTAAGTGCTGCAGAAACACGGCCTTATAGACTAGCCTAGTAGGCTTAGCACCACATAGGCCCTAGGTTATTAAACCTAACTAGGCCTAGTTTAGCCTTCTCCTACTAACCAGCTAACATTAGACTTAGGCCTTCCTATACAGTAATTACTTTACCCAGCCTAGGCCTATATCAGTCAGGCATCAGTAGTAGTAAGTAGTATTAGGCCTAGCCTAGGTCTACAGTATTTTGTTTTCCCCTTCCTGTTTCTTCTACTAGTAGTTTGTAATTCCAGAAATCCCCCTGGTAATTATGTTTTGATCCAAGCAAAAGCCTGATCACTTGTGTCACATCTACGTCTACGAACAAGTTAATAAGATAAAACGTAGAAGTGGAACACCTGACACAGGAAAAACACAACCAGACCATGGACCAAGTTAATGCTGGGTATGGCTGCTGTATTTTTATAGAGAGCACACAATTATTCTTTGTGCAAGCATGGATGATTGAACGATAGAACCGCAAATGCTTGTCTATTTCAACATTTTCAACATCATAATTCTGAAAAAGTATTAATGAATACAGGCCTATACATAAATATATCATTCTTCACAATAGTTATTTTCTTAATCAGAAAAAATTTCAATTTATATCAGAGACCTACCTTATTTACCGATGAAATACAAAGCTCTTTTTTACTACTCATACTCAGTGCGATAGGGCGAGATGAGGTCACTGAGACCGCATTCGATCTGTCCCCATAAAACTACGCATGTCAAATGGACTTCCTGTTGCCAAGGGGTTTAAGGAGTAAACAACAACAATTCCAAGATAAACTTTAAAAAATTAGATTGAAAAATAGTTGACACAACACAATTAAACCTATATAAACAAATATATATAACAACAAACGCGAAAACTTACAAAAATTCTTACCAAACATCCAGATTTTTCTATAGTCAGCAGATATGACGTTACTTCCGCCTTATCTTTGAGAAAAATACGCTTACATATGGAAGGCAATAGCCGCCAAAATACAAAGTAAAGCGCACTGATCTACAATATGGCTGGATAAAAGTACTTATTGGCTGGTTTTAGTGAAGCGATTGTAGCCCAAAACGTCACAAGTACGTTATCACAAAGCAAGCTTTGGAACCGGCATGACGATCACTAAAAACGCGACATCGCTTAATACGCTTTTGTAAACTGCACCAAATATGACTCGCACGTGTTGAGTGTTTCAGTTTTATTTTTTATTTAACTATTTCAACAGTGGCATACACTATACATTGGTGGGTCCAAACTTAATAATAAATTATATAACAATAAAGAGTGAACCAAAAGGAAAATTGGTATCCAAAAGGCAAACAGAAACATCAAACATAGGGAATTTAACAATAGAAGGATTTAGCGATGGGCGTCACTTGACCTAACTTGCCAGTGGGTGTTGGAGATAACAGTCCACTGACATAGCGGTGTGTTACAGATTTCTATCGCGGCCGTCCTTTGTTTATTGCTGTAAAGATGATCATAATTCCCAGTAAACTATACCAAATTGATTGGAAATTAAACTTAAGTATTTTTCCTTAATGTTTTGCTAATGTTGTAAAGGATACTTGAGATTTTTCGACAAATTTTAGGCCTAGGCCCCTGCAAATCGAACTACGGCATGGTTAGTCATGAGGGTCTTCGACCCGCGAACTACGCTGCAAATACGTTAGAGCCATCCTAGCTTTTATAAAACATATTTAGTGGACTCAGAGAGCCCAATAACATATGATTCGACACCAAATTTACTATTTTTAATTGAGGAGAAGTGGAATTACACCAATATTTTCGATTTTTACATTTATTGTGGCTGCCATAATGAATTTCAAAATGGCTGCCATCCTAGCTTTTTGAAACTATGTTTGAAACTATGACTAAGAGAGCTGAGAGAGACCAATAACATATTATTAAACACCAAATTTACCATTTTTCATAGAGAAGTGAAGTGGAATAATCCTGAAATATTTGTTTTTTGACAATTTTTATCTCAACCATCTTGGATTTCAAAATGGCTGCCATTCTAGGTTTTTGAAAGACGTCGCATTGGATTCAGCGACCCCAATAACATATACTTAGACGTAGACACCATAATGTTATGACCACAATATCTGAATTTTGACGGTCATTTTAAAAGTGGAAACCAAAAAATGTGTTCCGCCCTTTTTCCTTCTCAATATTTTATTTATACCATAGTGAATCAATAGAGAAAGCTTGGTCCCCGAAAAAATAGTCACGGGGGGGGGGCATGATTTTTACGATAGGCCTACTATGAATTCCCCCTACTATAATAAAGATAATATAGGCCTAAATCTATTTTGTTTCTTAAGGTAGGTGCGTTCCATACATGGTCCAGTACAAACTGCTGCTACGCCGCCGCCCGCCGTCGATCAAAGCAGTATATGGCGGACAAGTTTGAAAGTGTTTATGTCGTACAGTGGTCTTACCTACTACTTCTAGGCCTAGCCTATCCTTTCTGTTGGTATATTTTTTATAACTTCCTGTTCTGTTATTTCTGTAAGGAGAATATGATGTGTTCCATACCATATGTGTTCCATACTGCATAGGCCTAGTATTCATTTGTCAAGAATTATGCGGATTAAAGTTATCCGAATAGACCTACCCTCTTAGGCTATCCGACTGGTGGAAGCAAGGACCCGCTCGGAGAGAGAGCATATCAAGGCCTACCTTAATGATATAGCATAGGCAACGATATTTGAAGTCATGACAGTTAATGAACGGTATTTAGTGGTAGTTTCAATGATGGAAGGTAAGTAAATTAGGCCTTTGGCCTCTCTGGCGTAGGAGACCTACTCTAGGCTAGGCCTAGCCTAAGTTAGGGCAGGGAGTTGTTGTTATAGGCTAGCACTCTAGGCCTAGGTAGCCTCGGCCCATAACCGACTTGGCCCATAACCGACTTGGCCCTTAGTTAGGCCTACACCAACTCGGCCCTTGTCAACTCTGCCCTTAGCTGACTCGGCCCACAACCAACTTGGCCCATACACCAACTCGGCCCTTGTCAACTTGCCCCTTATCCAACTGGGATCATACACCAACTCTGCTCTTGTCAACTCAGCCCTTAACCGAGTCGCCCCTTATCCAACTCGGCCTTTAACCAACTTGGCCCATGAACCGAATCACTTTTGGAATATTTTAATGGGAAAGCCTTTTAATGATGTATTAAATCTTAATACCGTAATTATATTATATTAATTTGTCGTCACACATGAATGTATTAATGTTTTGTGTTTTTTAACCACAAAGAAATGAGATACACGAACATGCAGTACGTAGTGTAGGCATGTTAATTTATATATGTTTTAATTTAAATGTAATATTGTAGCCTATTGTAGCCTTATTCCGTACAAAGATGTTGTGTCTGCTTGATCATCAAGAATACTGTGCTGGAGCCTGTTTGGAATTGTGGGAAGTTTCTTTCCGATTTTATACTTAAGTTAACAGGCAACTAGCATCGGAGTTTAGTGCATTTTCCGGCTTATTAAATAGGCCTATAAAAAAAGTCCAAAACGGCTATTAACATTCTTTATAAATAATATTAAAACTATATATTTATCGAAGTATTGAATCACAATGACGAGTATATGTTTCCTTTTATTTGTGTAAATTTTATAAAAACCAGAATATGTTGTTGCATCAAAAATGGTAACAAACAAGAAAATACAAACTTTGTGTCTGCTTTACCTCGAAGACTATTGTTTTGTGAGAATCTCGGTATTTGTGGATGTCTTTCCACAAATTATACAAGTTTAATATATGTTTGTGATTTTTATTTTGCTAGATTTTTATACCTGTCTGTTAGTAGCAATGATTCACTGTTGGTTTGGAATAAAGAAATAAATAGAATAGCCCGGTGAGTGATTTTGTCGGGCTTATGAATATAAAAGAAGCCTGATAAAAGGCCATTAAAATGTACTGTTATAATTAAACATAATAATAATTTTATATGGAAAGTATGAAATACTATATATTTCCTTTATTTTCATTCATCATATCATTTAATATGAATTTACTTGTACAGAATTAGAAACATGATCAGAACTTTTACGGTAAACAATAAAACAAACCATGATCAGAACTTTTACGGTAAACAATAAAACAAACGTATGACAACTATTGATACGTATTTCATAAATCTGCATTTTATTTAAACATTTATAAACATGATTAAAATACATATCGTAATTAAATGGTAACGCAACAAACGGTTAAAAGGGCATGTCTCAAAACAGTCGACTGGTCAGTAACATTTGCGTTGTTTCTTGTGTAAAAAAAAGAAAAATAAATAACACAAAGTGATACTGTACTGTAATATTTAATAATAAACTTCAAGAGTAGGTCTACCATGGGAATTTATTTGTAACGTTTCTTTCCACAAATTATACAGTACTCTATAGAGTTACCGTATCTAGAAATAGGCCTAGGTTCATGGGCAAAATCAGTTGGGCCAAATTGGTGTATGGGCCAAGTTGCTTCAGGACCGAGTTGACATAGGGCTGAGTAGGCTAAGGGCCGAGATGACAAGGGCCGAGTTGGTGTATGGGCCAAGTTGGTTATGGGCCGAGTCGGTTAAGGGGGCGAGTTGACATGGGGCGAGTTGGTGTGTGGGCCGAGTCGGACAAGGGCCGAGTTGGACAAGGGCCAAGTTGTTCATAGGCTGAGCGGGTGAAGGGCCGAGTCGGTTTGGTCCGAGTCGGTTAAGGGCCGAGTTGACTTGAAGCTGCCTAAGGGCCTAGGCCCTAGGCCTACCGTATTAAAATTTCTCTGTAACAATAGCAATCATAAAAAATACTCAAATAATAATCATGCTGAAAAAAATACCATAAGATATAATGTATAGTAGTCAAGCATTGTAAAAAAACAAAATAAATAAAATCAATACTAAGTCTAAAACACGCACACAAAAAAAACTAATTTAAAAATACAAAACCGTTTAAAAATTACTTTCCGAACACTTATAAACCACTATTGATGAATTTCTTCATTTAATGCATGCTCGGTAAAGGTAATTATGTATTCTAACCTGTAAGTTTGGCGTTCATGATATAGAATATGATTACGATCTAAATACTACAATGTTTGCAAAATGTTTTATTACAGTAAAAATATCATTCATGAAACTTGTGTATGAGTTAATGTACGCTGTGTACGAGTTAACCAAATATGTGTACGGGTACGCCAAAATTTGGGTACTGGTTGTGGCTACGGGTTGGCATGGGTATGGGTTGACTTATATTCAGTCATACTAGGCCAAGGCAGATTAGGTAGATTTCAGCCGCTGACAACATCGGCCGCCAGCGATCGAGTGCAAAAAAGTGTGGAGCGCCGATATTGCTGTCTTTGCTAGCTTTCAATCAATGAGTGCTGGCTGTGTTCAGTGTTTTATGCCAATTAAGTTCATTTATTGTGTGATTTTTTTTTTTTTTTTTTTTTTTTTTAGGTTTTCAGTATTGAACGGAATAACGTTTGAATCAACAAACATTAACTGTATGAATATACAATAAACGTCAGGTGGAAAATAACAAAGATTACATGTTTTTTGGGGGTTTTTTTTAGAATTAATTGTGCCATAATTTTCGTATCCTGCTTTACTTTATAACATTTATGAGTATTAATATATAATAAAAGTGATAGAAAAGAACAAAGATAACGGTTTTTTAGCATTAAGTGTACCATATTTTGTATCTTACTTTACTTTTATAAGGTTTATGAGAATTTATCACAAATAATAAAGTACAGGCCTATTAATGTCATTTGTGATATTGATTTTAATAACCATTAATTAGTAACTGTAATTTTAGGGTTGGGTTTTATGGTTTGTATAATGTACAGTACATGATTAAAATATGAACGAATAGATACTGTAGGTAAATAGATGAAGAGCTATGCTCGAAAAACATATTTTCAATAATGGAAATTTAAGGATAGTACTTTACCCTTTAGCGTTATTATGTATTTGTTTATTCATTGCCTTTGCAGCCACTTTCTTTTTATAGGTAGATAGGTAAATTTATCAAGAATATTTGAAATCAAACACTAATTCCTTTATAATCGACCATAACTGAAGAAAAGGGTTTATCATTTTCTAGAGGAAAAAATCTAGGCCTACTGTAGGCCAGTCCAGCCGAATTCCAAGGCTTTTGGAATTCCAAGGCATTTGCAACCTTATTTACCTAGGCCTAGATTACCTACCTTAATTAAAACAAAAGAAAAAAAAATGTAGGACCTAGGCTAGGCCTAGTCAATGTATATAAATAAAACAAGATGGAGACGACATTTTACGAATCAATGATAATGTGCTAATACTTTTCGGCCGCGGGCTAGCCAATGTAGTACAAAGTAGTACACCTAGTACTATGCCAAGTAGTAGTCCTAGAGAGAGGATTAGTTTATCCTTGCCTTAATTTTTCCTTACTAGGAATTACTCCGTCAAAATGTGTTTACTCCATCAGAGGTCCAAAAGATCTCTTACTGGGAATCCCTTTTCTTGAACACGCAGAAGTTCTGTATGAAAACACCGCGGTTACCAGAAAGTCAGTCCTGGAAGCGAAATAGCGTTACATAAATGACGTCACGAAGTAATGGTGACGTATGCCTCAAACTCTCCCCTCCCCGCCCTAAAAAAAATTGGCGGGGCTTAGGATCCAAATTATTAACTATATAAAAGCGATTTATTAATATTTGCGTTAAAGGTAAAAAAAATAAAAACACCCAGACTCGATTCTATAAATATTTCTTTATTCATTTCAACATATATAGAAGCAGACATCAAGGAAAAAAAATTTCGCGGGCCATCTGTACAGGTGAATAATAAATAACATTCTGTCCTGAAAATAAATTATACTGTACATGAAAGCAATACATTGTGCGCCAGACAAATAACACTTTGAATTAAGAAGTTTAACAAAGGCTTAAAATAGGCCGGCTACACCACGACAGAACGACCCCAATAATAGCTGTTGAGAAATAATGCCCATATGGCGTGCCATACAAATTCCGCACAGCCGAAGTTGTCGGCGGCCGAAATAGTCATATCCCTGCCTAGGCTAGGCCTAATTACCGTCATCAAGCGTTGTTACAGTATTTAGTACAGGGCATAGGCTAGGGCCTATTTGTTTATTTATTTTATTTCAACAATATTTTACGAGGGTGGTCTATGTGTACAGTAATGCACTTTTCAGTTGTAGTCCTGCCTTACTTACTACAGGTCAGTCTGTAGTAGAAACAGATTTCCTTGCCTTGGCTCACTACTGGTGTATTTTTTGACGCAAACTAAGTCAAATACACGGTTCACAAATTTTCACCTCGTTCCCCTTCGTTTTGTGGTCTAGGTTCAAATTTTATTATGTAATTTATACCGTGATCTATAAAAAATGAAACCATGATGGAGTACCAGTAGGCGGTTTTTTAATTACCAAAGCACACATCAGTTGCTGAATGCCCAGGCCTAGTTTAGGCGAGACCCAGGCTTAGCGGAGTCTTAGCCGAGGATGTAATTTACAAAACGGTTATGTGCATGTGAAAGTCCTGGCTACCTCCCGGCAATGCGGAGCATCGTTTTAACATACATCCCCGGCTAAGTCCCGCCACCTACTGCTGGGATATATTTCGTAGTCCCGGTAAAATTCCCCGCTAATAAAGGATTGGATGATGGGGATGATAAGGCCTACTATAGCAAGCATACAGAGCGAGACAAAAACAATTTGAAGGCCCATCGGTCTAGCTACACTCATGGGTCAGTTTCCTTCGCCATCTTGGCGAACTTTTTAAAATTCTTTTTCGCCAAATTTAAAATGATTTAGCCAAATTTAAAAACTAATAAAATTCACAAAAACAGTTCTGTAAACGAGTTTCTTGCTTATTTATGTCTTACTGATTTGTAACCAGTTGTAAAGGTGGTAAGAACAGTATTAATGATTGAATTAACCACAAATGATATGTGGGACCGGCAGCTACCGGCCTGCAATAGTGCTACCTCTAGGCCCTAATCTAATCAATTAATTACAAGTGGGAGTACACTAGGCCCAGTGTGCCTCACTTTTTGATGCATTACAAGCGAATGGTGCTTCAAATACTGTACCATACAGTACAGTTACAGGCCCTACCTGTTGTTTTTCTCTAGGGGCCTACAGCAGAGCATATGTAAATATCTATAAAATTTATGCTTTTATATTGTTTTAATATGGATTTTCCGTCTTGCGTATTTTTTGTCTAAACAAACACATTCTTCGTCGTCACGATGACTCTTGCTGAGGGTTGAAGGCCATGCCCCTGAAACTCCAATTGGTTAATTTTTCTCCAGGGGTGCGGTAGTGGCATGCAAAAACATGTGCTTCAAGTGGGATGACATCAGATTTAAAACATTACCATAGTAGTTGCCTGTAACATAATCAATGTTTTGTACTGTAATATTTATTTTAAAACACAGTCAAACCAAAAACTATTTTTTATTCGAATAATAAGCAAGTATGTTTACATCAAATTGTGCTTGGTTTATTCTTGAAGGCAGTTCAACAACAGGACGCACATCTCCGCTTGCAAACATAGTGCGAATGTAGAGTCCTTTGATCTTTACTGTGGCATTGACAACCTGATACTAGTTGCGAGTACAGCCGTTGATTATTAGACTATGCGTGTCCTACGTTTTATGGCTATTTTATTAAATTTGGGAACTTCAAAATGTCTGTTACATTTGATTTTTTTTACCACAAGCTTGTTAAGTGTATCTATAAATGGATTCCATAGAGAAAATTTCTTTAAGCAAACCAATGTACTCACTGTTATTTGTTGATGACAGTTTAATGAAAATTGACCAATATAATGAAAATTTATAGCAAATGATGAAAATTTATGATTTTTATAAAAATTCATGTTTTTATAATATATTTACATTTAAGCTGTCATTTTGACAATGTTGGACTAAGGTGCACAAAACAAACATCTTGAGTAGATACTGAAATTTTATTTATTTATTCTGCGAAGTAAGTCTCATGAATCACCGGACAACACCTCATCGGTAAAATTAATGTTGAAATAACGTAAGGAATATAATTTCAGTCTAGGTGCAAAAAAAATCCTTAGGCTTTTGTAATCACCGCATGACGCAAGATTATCATGGCAACTGACACGTTTCGTCACACGTTGACGGTTAATTTTGGTTTGGTTACGGGTTTTGTGGTGATCATGGGACGTTAAACTCAGCACAGCGTTTAGGGGCGTGCAACGCGTAGAATGTCGATGCTAGAGTTATAACCTTTGATGTCCCGAGACGTGCGTCCTTTTGTTGAATTGCTTTGGTTTATTATCGATGAAACAGTTCTACAAATATAGTCATTTTTTTAGGATGTCCTTTTAGCATAGCATGAGTTACTATTTTTCTGAGCTGTCCCATACTTTCTCAAGTTGACATATTATTTTTTTAATACTGTGGTGATATAGCCTTATTGGTATAAGATCTTGGGGTTTAATCCTGATTTTTATATTTAAATCCTTTTATTTACTGTTTCTTGTCACTTATTTTGTTTTTTTGTCTTGCGTGTTCTATTTATAAGGTCAACAACCTAGGTTTTTTATGTTTTCCTTTGAAATAAAGTAATTTTATATATAAAAAAATACAAAAAAATGAAAATTCAAATCAAATGAATTTAAGAGCTAGAGCTTGAAGAGTGTACAACAGATGCGCAAAAGTTTAGCATGAGTTACCGTGGGGTCGGAAAGGTATGCAAGGCTTCCTACCTATACCTTCTAAATATAGTAAGAAGGATGACTTCTCCTAAATATGGATGTTTCAAAGCAGGGGTTTTACTGTAATGAGTATAAATTCTGATAAGAGTAAAACAAAATTTTCATTTGTCATTTTCTACAGGTCGGCATTTTCCAAAGAGAAATCAACACCAACTTTTTATAGAAACCAAGTTTGATGGTGAGACTCTCAGTACCGACCCAGTTCATCATTCCGAATCTCCAGAATTCAATACAGAGCTTGCATGGGAACTTGACAAGAAAGAACTGCATCAGCATAGACTTCAAAGAACCCCAATTAAATTGCAGTGTTATGCAGTGAATGTAGCAATGAAAACTAGAGAAATTATTGGATACATCATGCTTGATTTGAGAACAGCTTCTCAATCTGTCAGCTCTCCTGCTAATGTTCCTGTGGTAGGTTGATATTAACGACCAAATTAATGAGCATGTGAAATAACTTAATAATTGATGGATTCAGTGAATCACACGATTCAAACCAAGACACAATGAAACAAAAGTAAATATAAGCATACATCATAAATTACCAGTACAAGCCTTTTTGTACCATTCTCTTATGGCATACTATGCTCTCTGAGAGACCCTTGTTGCTTCCATTCAAAATGAAGTTGTAGTCTTCATCCAATAGTGTACCAGATCAAATAAGGCTTTACAGGGTAGCTATCTACACCTACTCTACTTACCTGCAACAGCTGATTTCCTGAACATTATAATTTAATATATGTACTGTCAGTGTTTAAAGCCAAGCGTAAATGCTCTGATGCTAGTAGTGTACTGGCAAGATAAGCAGGACACATTGTGTATTATTATTGTTAATCAGTTGGTATATCACATCTCAAAAAAGAGTGCAAGATTAATACAACAAAGAACAAAATATACAGTAATTATAATTATGATTAGGCTGTAAAACGTATTTGCGGAGGTAATAACGCAGTCTTGTCCTTTGCACATATGCAGTGGCATTAGGTTATTAACCCTCTGGATACCGGATTCTTTTACAGTGCAAACCCTTGAATACCGGATTCTTTTGCAGTGTAACAAGGTTTTTTGCGTTTTTTGAGTATAAGTCGTTCTTGTGGATTTTTGGGATCTTTCTGTAAATTATACAGAAAAATGTTTCAAAAACAAAGAAAGCTTATAGAATAAGCTTTCATTTGATGTATAATTTATATTTTTGGGAATTTTTTTTCATAATATAATATGATATAATATATATATAATATAATAGAAATGTCAGAAAAATGATACATATAAATCGTCAGCAAAAACCGAAAAAAAAAAATTATAGCCAAAAAATAATAAAAACAAATATAAAACATTCCTATTCCACACAGTTATATAATTTATTTACCCAACCATCCATAACTATAAGCGCGATTTTTCCATTCAAAAGCGTCGACTACCCTCACATTTTTAGGCCTAGGCTCATTTTCATCAAGAACATCTCCGCCGTCAGAACTGCTTGAAGCCCCACCGTCATCATCGCTAACAGGCACGTCTAAGTCTCGCACATCTAAAAATTCACCTTCATCACTGTCTGAATCAAAAATCAGGTCAATTGCTTGCTCAGCTGTGTACACATCTTGTGCGGCCATTTTGAAAAATTTTTGAAATTAATAACGATTTCAAATTGATATTTCTAAAAATTTTTATATAAACGTATGTGAGTTCTTCACAGATTTCAAAAGACAAAAGCTTCACGCATGCGTGTTTAAAATTTCTGACGTATTGGAGCTAAAATAAAAACAGAAGAGCGATTTGAAAACCACCTATTTTTTAGTCACGAAATTTCGATTGCAGTCGAAAATGGGAATTCTCGGTTTGAGGTCAATTTCGACTACAGTCGAAGACGGTATCTAGAGGGTTAAGGTGTCATTATATTTTTCTGGCAACCTTTCAAAATGCTACTACTAGCAAGCTTGGAAAATTTTTTTTTATGCCTCTGACCAGGAAAATTATCTTGATCCTCCAGGACCAAATGTTATCTACAGTATTATAGGAAACAGTAGTACATTTAGTGGGTTGGAGCAAGCAAAAATATTATATGTATGCATTTTTGTGATGTGCAAAAAAAAAAAAAATTTTTTTTCTAAAATGCCTCTGGGTTAAAAGTCAATTCCTCCGACCACTGGTCGCACACTTTTTCCAGCCCTGGCTACTAGTACCAAACAGTTGGGCCAATTCCATACATAGGGTGCTCAACGCTTGGGGTGACCCCACAGATAGGGGTCATTAGGATCAAAGTCCCGAAAATCTTATTAACAGATTATAACATAACACAGTCTTGTCCTTTGAGCTAAGCCAATGGATAAATGAGCATGCTCACTGTGTGCTGATAGATATTGATTTTGACACCAAATGTTAAATTCAAATATTTAAAAAAATTATCCAATTGAGCTCAAATTTTCCAGGAATGATGGGTGCATGTTCTGTTGAACATAGTTTCTAGTGAATATTATCAACATATCATTTGGGTAGTTCGTTGGTTTGTTTTATAGCAGTGTTTTACTGACGAAACTGATTGGCTTCTTCCCCAACGGTAGACCAGTTCGGCCCCGGACACACACTGGCATTGCCACTGAACTCTTGGAAGAAAGGCGAGACTTTTTTTTATACCTTGTTTCACAAACTTATTTTTTTAGAGATCGTCAAAGGAGGGCGGAAACAACATAAAGATAAAATTTTGTTTTCTTATTCAACAAATGATTTTGCCAAAAACAAATGAAAATAAAATTTTACCGTTTAATGTAAACAGTGTAGTACTGGGATGGTTAATGCTTTAGATTTTTATAATTTGGAAGAAATATAGTACATATCTTATTTTTGAAGATTTCAAGGTAGGAGGCGGGCATAATAAAATTAATGAAAAACTTTTAATTGGGCAAAAGTAATTTTTAAAATTCAAAATCGTTAATATTGGTGGGCAGCGAGTTAGCGAAACAAGGTATAAAAAAAGTCTCGCCAAATAGAAAATATTTGAGAACAGTCTGGCAAATATGGACCAAAAATTAAAAAATGCATTGAATTCGGATAATAATGAAAAAAACAATGAACAATGGGATTTAAAGTGCTAGAAAAAATTGTTAAATTCCTTTTTTTTTTTTTTAGCCCAGCAAGTGGTATCCCCTCCTAAGTTGTAAGTACCAGCGAATGAAGCCGGAGATAAAAGTAGGGCTGTCTTTGGAGTTGGACAATAAGCAACCAGACTCCAGTTTCAAGGCTAAAAGTGCACCACCTAGGAAGGGACAAAGTATGTCAAGTATGTACCCAATTTCACTTTTGTAACAATTCTTATTTTCTAAGATGTTTGATTAATTTTAATATAATCTCAAAAGAAGATCAACTTTGCATGATTAGAGGCTATATGATATTCTAGTTTCTTTTGCTCGCCAGATTGCTTCCACTGCAGCCTAGTATACTAGTTAAAGTTGTATGCTGCGCAGCCTTTTGCACCCATCACTGTTCGAGGCAATATGAACCTGGTTTATAATATGCAGCTCACAGGCCATTTGGAGCAATTTAACGCAAAAAGAAAAAGTGATGAAAAAATAAAAGTATAATCATCTTTCAATAAAGTAAAGACAAAGATGCAACCCTTGTGCAATGCACAACATCTTTATTGGAAACAGCTTGGGGATGGTTTGAAGGTGGTGAGCATGTCATTATCGGAAATAGAATACATCACAATGTAGCTAATAATTGAGATATAACATAAATTTTTGTTATTTAACATGCAACACTGTCAGCGACCAGGTGTTGCTGAGGTGAGAGAGCTAGGCACAACTTGGATTGTATAGGCTAGGGCCTGGGCTCTGTAAACCAGCAATAGGCCTAACCTAGTATATGGATGCTAGGGCCTAGCCCCTAGCAGGCCTGCCTAGGCTAGGTAGGGGAGCTAGGTTGTTTTGTCTTCTTACCAGTCTTATTAAGGACTGATGAGATTTCTTATCACTGTAGCTTTTGGATTGTACGTCGTATAATGACTTCTCTTCCCGCCAAAAATTGATTTAAACTTCTTCTTGCTCTTCTGTCCATTCGCTCTCCTTCTCCATATTGCCGCCTAGTCTGTCTCGTGGTGGAATTCCCGGTCAGAGTGTTGGAAAAAAACCAAGCTGTCAAAAAAGAAACAAGTGCACCTGATTGGTTAATTTTTGAGCCGAATGTTTATTCGCATCGGGAAAGATTTAACAGGCAAATCATTAAAAAACCGTCAGCCAACGAGTAGAAGACTATCATCGCGGCAACCTCACACACAGAGCCTGATAGTTTTGTCGTGCGACCGTCACACGATGCAGTGAGTAACCGACTTTACAGGCAGGAATCCAGGATCATGTAAGATTACCAAGCCAGTAAAAAGCATGGTTGTCCTCGATTTCAACTAAACTACCACGTAAAGATTTATTTGTTTTTTATTCCCTTAAATTTGCGATTTATTTGTCGGGTGTTATTTTATAATTAGCGTCCCCGAAGGAGCAAACCTCCGGGAAGGCTATTGTTTTTAGCCATGTTCTTCTGTTGTTATTTGGTAAATTGTTTGTTACCACGATAACTAAAGTTTGGTAAGTCTGATTGGTTTAAAACTTGGCAGAATGCAAGATGGTATTAATAGACAGAGGCTATATCATTTTAGGTATGTTTGTGAAACAGCAAATTTACAATAAATACCATCATTATTCCCATAGAAAATGTCTTACTTATTTGAAATTATAATATGTCATGCCTCTACAAAAAAAAAAAAAAATGATTCGATTTTCAGTTAAAGTGAAACTTTTAACTGCAAATTGAAATTCGAATTGAACACAATTTGCGTTGCTGAAAGCGTTTCAGACTAGTCACGACAACAGCCGATGCAGTTTGTTGTGCTCAGCACTGACTGAAAAAAATTTTAATTTTATTTCTGAAATTTCCATTTTCAAAGGCGGCGAGTGCGCTAATTGGCCAAAAATATAATTTAAATATCATTATTGGCGGTCGGCAAGTTCGCTGAACAAGGTTTAGAAAAGTTTTGCCTAAGCCTCACAATGAATTTATAGCATCACATAGTTTCTTTCATGCTGGTATAATCATATGAATTAAGACAAATGTATTATATGATTTTTTTTTTTCATTAAAATTATATTTTAACTTTATTATTATTTAGTCCAAGAGGAAGCTGAATCTGAAACGTTTGAATCTTTGTCGATGCAAGCAATCCTGAATGAGGCTGAAAAAATCTTTCAAATAGGACCAGTTGACCGCTGCCATGAATTATTCATCATGTCTGTGACAATTGCTTTTGCCACAAACTTGACTAAGGTAATCAGTTCTCTTTGTCAGGCTGTTATAATTTGGTATAGATATATTTTTGTTTTCGTTTTTTTAACCCTCTTACCCCTTCCTGTGGCAATCCTCCTGCATGTAATTTTCTCATTCCCAAACTTTCTCAAATTATAGACTTTAATGTCAACACTGCTGAAAATGTCATTAATGGCCAATTGTCAAATGCATCACCAGGTTCTGACTCTATCCAGATATTTATTTTAAAATCTGCTTCTGAATTTATGCCCCTCCTTTAATATTTACTTTGCCTGGAAGGTTTCACATATCACTTCTATATTTAAATATGGTGACAAGTCCTCCATTTACAATTATAGACCAATTTCTCTTACCTCTCTTTGTTCTAAACTTGAAAAAATTATTTAATCATATAGCTGTTGCTATCTAATCAGTGACTTTCAACATGGCTTTTTTCTCTTCCTGGTCTTAAGTGTGTTACGCATTAACAAGCCAAATCCAAAAACTCCTAGAATTGATATTGTCTCTTTGAATTGTGCTAAAGACTTCCTCACCACATTATTTTAAATAAACTACAGTAACTACTCATTTTAACATCAGAGCTAATAATATGGAAGTGGATCAAGTTTTTCCTTTTAGGTTCAAGATTTATTGGTCAAACACAAGTAAAAGATAAACATGGTTCAAAACTTTGTTTGATTATACAGTACATGCATAACAATACATTGTCTAAAATCTGTTAATAAAATAACAAACGTCAAGATGCACATACCGCACTGCATATAACCTTTGATAAAATGTTAAGATGTAGTTTTAAAAGCATGTTGAAATATTCAAACATTAAGAGGAGTTAAAATCTTAAAACATTGTAGGCAGTTAAGAAAGGAAAAGCTAAAGTCTTTTAAAATATCAATGATATTTACCTCCACATTTCATTAAATTGTCTTTTCTAATTATGTTGCTGCTGTCCTTGTGTTTCAGCTGCAGGGCTGAAGTGCAAGTTTTGAATGAGATTTAAGCTATTGATCCCGCGTGCAAAATGGCTCATGTGCAGTACACTCCTCGGAAAAAAGTAGGGGATTGTCTCCCGGTGTACTGCTCAATTCAATACCAGAACGACCCCACTGGAAATAAGTTTCAGGACTTTTGTGAGTCAACACTGAAGAAATCCAATCCAATCCATCGTGAATATGTTATGCAACCTGTTCTACTAATTTTAATATACTATGATTTGTATCTGAAAGATTAAAATATATCGTTATTTGCTATGCTGACTACAGAGTCAACCTGTATATTCCATTCCAATTACTCTCTTAGAAATTTTCAATTCCTATGCATGGTAATGCAATAAGAACTCTTCTAATCACTTTTTTGCGTGTGTACAGTATGCGTGTGGACATTTAAAGTAAAATTGCTCATACGTCAAGAAAAAGTTTTGTTTTAACATCACGACGCGAGTTTTTCAGTGCTCAGTCTGGGCTCACGCTATTTCGATTTTTCATTTGATCTCCATTTTTCGCCAACTCCATGTGACGTTTATTTCTGTTGTTATATGAGTTGTCTTGCTGCAAATGTCATTGCCTGTCTCAAAAGTTATTCTTTATTTGTAATTGTTATTTTAACGTGGTTGATGCCGGGCAGTGGCTGTATAACGTAGACTAATACAGTATGAAGGTATTATAATCCCGACAGCCGGTACCTGTATGTAGTACTGTACCCTTTGAATGCAAACTGAAGACAAGTGCAGATACTGTATAAAGGCAGCCGACCGTCGGGTACATAACAATTTTCTAGATTGGGTTTTTCCAATAAAGCACGAGACATTGTACCCTTTGAATGCAAATTGAAGAGATATAAAGGCAGCCGACTGTCGGGTACATAATGATTTTCTAGCTTGGGTTTTTCCACTAAAATGCGAGGCATACCTACACTGCGATGCAATGGTGGTAGTAAGCTTGGTATCCACTAGGACGCTTCATGTTTACAGTTTGGCGATGAGTTATTTCTCATCTTGACTGTCGCCATCGCCCTAGCAATCGCAAATTAAATAATAGTTGGTTACCGTTTATTACACCTGAATGACTTTATAATCTTAATGGTTTAGAATAGGCTTTTTGGAATAGGCATTTTAAAACCTAATAATTTACCATCAAAATGTGCTAAAAACACAAAAAGCTCGCATTATACTTATTACAATAAAAAATGGCAGCTTCTACAATTAAACACATGTTCAAAGTTAATCTTGCCATTAGACAGCCCTTGTCATTTGAAAATGTCAGATGAGCAATAAAACACTCACTGTAATTTTCACACAAGTGATTATTTTGCGGGATGGCGCCGGGGATTGGGGGCGGGGAGATTAAAGAAAAACTTCAGGTGAACGTTCAATCGCTATACAGTCACAGTGCAATCAACAGGAGTCAACAAGACATCAAATTTAACCGCCAGCCAATATGTACATGTAGAGAAATAATAAAGTGCACTCTCCTAATACCGATCTCCCCCCACCCTCACCTGTAGTGACTGGCTATGATGTTCATTGAACCCTTTTCAAACAAGCTTGTTGTAGGCCAGCTAGGGCCTAGCCGCTGAAACAGGCATAGACCTAGGCCTAGCTAGCAAGATTCTTGTGGGTTCGGTATGTCTAACCTACGAAAAGTTAACATGCATACAGTATAAAGTGCCTGTTGTTTTGCTGTACTGTACAGCATATTTAATTACCAATAAATGCTTTTATATTGTTTTTACGTGCATTTTCGGTCTGATATTTTTCCCCTAAACCCAACACATTCTTCGTCGTCACAATGCCACTTGCAAGTCAGTTGTTGTAAACATCAGACATCAGGTCATGCCTCCTAAACTCAGCCATGATTAAATTAGCAACATGTTTCTGAAAAGTGTCTTGTTTGAAAAATAAGTGAAGCTATGCCTTTGTAATTTACAATGATGAATCTAAATGACATCCAAGTCAAATAAACGTCTACTAAAAAAGAGTCGGCCATCAATTCGTAAACTTGCTTTGAGTCCCGTCTTCATTTCAGGTTGAATTTAATTGATTTTTAAGGAGCGATAATGCACTTTATTAAACAATGGAAGGCGTAATTTTCACTTGATCTAATCATTCAACTTTAACATTTTCTGGTGCGTTGTTTTAAATCAATAGATAATCTCTGGCAGTAGGCTATTGGGACTGAGAAAGCGGTACGAACGGTTCATTCATAGGGTGTTGTGATGGGCCTACATTAGTTGTTAATTCCTAGAGAGCAATGTGATTATTGCATTATTTCGTTTGGAAATCGTTGTTTATTAACTGTTTGTTCGGTTTGTAGACATTCATAAATTGTACTTAAAAAGTATAATGACCCACGCTGTCAGTATAAAGACGTTTTTCAGCTTTTACGTTGGTAAATAGTTGCCGTGGTCATCAAAAATTGTGTGGGCATTTCGAGGGCTGTGGAGGTGAGTTATTTTGAAATGTAAGGCGATTTATTTTTCACACCCCTCGATAGCAGTTTTGGTGAGCGAGCGCGATTGCTCGCCTTAAATGACAAGGTCTGTATATGTTGTTATAAAAAGTATCTTCTAATCTGACTTCATTACATTTTAGATGATTTATACACCACTTCTTACTCCCATCAATGCATTAGTATAGCTCTTTGGCTAATGTTTACAAATTCATACCCACTGCGCGAAATTGCGATGACATCATGTGCTACAGTGAATTACAATTGACCAGGGAATTTAGTACGACGACACTATGATTTTCAAAAATTGAAAAGTTGTGCTCAATCGTAGCAAAGATGTGTAAAAAGGGGCGTAACATACTCAATTATGAATGTATTGATTAAGTTCCAGTGAAGCAATTGCCAATATAAATAAGCATTATCAATCATTTAATCAATCCTGGAAGCATGGTTGCTAGCCCCATCTCCAAAAAATAGAGGAAAAAGAGAGAAGAAAAGAACAGAAATTTAGAAAGAGGAGAAAAAGTTACAGTAGGCCAACTCCAAAACAAGCTAATTCTCGATTTGAATTCCATCAATGTCTGTGGTCTTAAGCATTCCTAAATCTGAAATCTTAACACCATCTCTGCTCGGCGCTTCAAACATCGCATAACCCTATTTCTGTAGATCCACCCATATTCTATGAGGTAGAATCTATCAACACTACAAAAATAGAGACGGACACAAATTTACTTTCCCCACAATAATTATAGGCCTATGACTTTTGGTTCACTTTTTCTTCAGGTCGTATAATATAGGCTTCAAAATACCTATATAAAGACTGTTTGGTAACCAAATTTATTGATTGTTTTAATAAAGTGTCACTTCGATACCACAAATTATGTTGCTCTGAAAGATGATTGATAAGGCCAATCTGATCATAATCTGTAATTCAGCCTTTTTGGCTGCCATGTTTTATGCTTTTCATGAATTTTGAATAAAAATACCATTATATATAGAATATCATACTATTATGGGTAATCATTTACCGTATTTAATTCTCTATTTATGGCCATGTTTTAGGGTGGATGCGATTTCAAAGGTGGTGGGGATGCATCCAGCTGTGGCCCCATACATTTTTGAAAATTAAAAAATTTACCGTATTGTCAAAAGTGACGTATTAGAGTTCTAGTAAGAGTACCTCAGCGGGGCTCATTTTAGGCTTGAAACTGGGCGTTTTCCCAGAAAGCACACAGGTGTTACTTAACTGATCAAAGCTCCATAGTAAAATGCTGGGTCGTAGTAGGAGGGGGCCCTTCTAATAAATCTGCCAAAGTGTGTATTTTTTGGATTTTGGTTTATTTGGTTTTTTTATAGTTAGGCCTTCCTAAAGAAAAAGTTACTGTATTGTCGAAAAGTGGTAGTATAGTGCTGGGCCCAGAAAGCACATGCATTAAGCCACTGTTAAGTCTGGGTTGTAAAGTGTTAGGTGGTAGTAGTAGGAAGGGTCTGCAGCTCCTTTTGGGTGGGGACTGTGGCTGCACCCCAAGAGCTCATATAAATGGGCTGGAGGGCCAAACTAAATGTTTCAAGCAAGCAAACCTACATTGGAGAAAAATTGACATTTTAAGTGTGCTTGCAAAAACCTTTATACTGCTCAGTTTTAATGTTAATATGTTAGATTTTCTGCAGTAAAGGTGAAAAAAGCCAATATCAAAACCAATATTCTATAACACTATAAATATAATAAGACCCAATTTGGAATATTTTGCTCTTGTGTGGCATGGTGCTATCACAGTTTATTGGAAAGGTCCAACAACAGAGACTGGTGTTTCCCTTTGGCGAAAGTTTATTAGCCTCCCCAAAGGCACGAAGCTCTTGGGAGGCCATTGTTTTTTCCATGTTCTTCATGTTATCATTGGCGTTGTGAGTCACTTGTTTGTTACCACAATAACTAAAGTTTGATTGGTTTCAAACTTGGCAGAATGCAAGATGGTAATAAGAAGACAAAGCCTCTTATTTTTGGTATATGTGAGAATATGCTAATTGCTCATTTGCAAAATTTATATTTCACTAATCAGGTAAATTAGGCTATTACAATGATAAATAAAGTTTGTTAAAGTCCAATCAGTGGCAGACCATCAAGGCAGTGCATACCCTGGCTAAAACAAATTAAAAAAAATATAGTAATACACTAGTTTATCCGTTTTATTTACCATCCTTAGTAAGAATCTTCTATATACAGTTGAACTTGCCTAAAAGTCGAATCCAAAATGCCATTGAAATATTATTTGACTTAGATAAAATACGACTTACAGATTGTTAATTAATGGAAAACACAACAATTTGGCATTTAAAATTAGATGGACTTAGAAATTATTTGACTTTAGGCAAAGTCAACTTAGGCAAGTTTAACTGTAAACCTTAATTTTTCAAGTTGATTGCTACAGTTCATTGGAATAGCAAAGTTTTTCAATGTTTGGCCTACTTTGGTATCTAGGATAAGTCACAGTCGGGCCTATGGCATCGTACTCTCAGCTGCTTAGAATTTCCGCATAGCTGGTTTTCAATATCAGCCAGTCACATATTTAGTGAGCCAATGGGAGTCAGAGCATACCCTACAACGCCTAAATTTGTTATTGTGACAACCATGTGGTGGCGTCAAAATAGCCAATTTAAAACTGGAATGGAAGCGATGCTTCCTAGAGTATGTGCGCATGCTCTTTTTCCCACAGATCGGGACCTCCACTGGCGATCGGGTATTCTATATATAGGCCTAATCTCAATGATCAAAGTTTAAATAAATTTGCATATATATGACCGGTATAGAAGAAATTTTGAAATATGATATACTTGAATTGAAATTTTCTAAAATACCGGAATAGGAATTCTTTTGAAAAGAAGATACTACAACCATGCCGGTATTAAAAATAACACGGTACATTTGTATTTTGTGTGTGCGCCCCTTGCACATCTTAGATATGCCAATACCTAGCATACCCTGCAATTTACCATACGGTCCGCCACTGAGTCCAATTGCTATTAAACTTGGCAGAATGCAAAATGGTGATATTAGGCCTATTATATATTCATGAATATGTAATAGGCTAAATACTATCATAATTCCCAAAGAAAATTTCTAATTCAGAGAAAATTATAATATTTTTTCATGTTGTTGTCGCTGTTATAGTAAATTGTTTTTTGCTTACCACGATGAGTTTGGTAAGCCTGATTGGTTTCAAACTCAATTCTCAGAGAAAAATATTATTGTGTAGAGTAAAAGGAGCATTTCTAGTTAAATTATGAGTTTTCATACACTTTTTTTTTACTGCAATAAACAAATTAAATAACTGTAATATATGATATTTTTAATAATTTAAAAAATAATTGTTAATAATAATTAGTAATTAAATTTAATTGGGTTGTATCATACATTACAACATAAATAACATACAACATATTCTCATGTACAACAATACTATATGACACTATTTTACATTACATCCATCAATTAACCATTACAACATCAATGCATAGGTAAATACTGTATTAATGTGTTATCTGGATTAAACAAAATCTAACTTTGAAAGAACACAACTATCATTAACTAACATCACTGTGTGCAGTCGTCTGTTGCCTACATTCTGTCTAATCTAGAAAATGAACTTTGATAATTAAATAATGATGTAAAATAATCATAAATGCAATAAAATATAAGAAATGATCAATCAAATAATACACTACAGCATTCACTCACAGTAATCACTATGCCATCAAAAACAACAATATTTCTCTCGTTACAAACACAAGAAATACTTCCTAGTATTGGTACACAAATCAATTATAAATCAAATATTATACATTATCAGCCATTATTAAAGATATAGCAATGTATAGAAAAAATTACAATGATCAATAATATTTGCAAACTTATTCAATTAAGTTTAGTACATTGCCAAACCGGCAATAGTTACGATGGAAGTGTTCAACAGCCAGCAACCACTTCTATACCCAAGAAGAAAGCAATATCATTACGTATATACAGTATTACATAAGATTCAGACGGCTTAATAAGTACTGGGACTGGGATGCAATATTTCACTACACACCAAGAAAGAGGTCAACACGTTAACTTGCTCTTCCACGGTTATTTGAATTAAACAGTAATATTTGTTGTACCATTTGATTTATTTTAGCTAATTCCTTCAAGTTGGACATTAGAAGGTAGAAAGGATGATGGTTTTTTCTTTTACTATTCTTTGTTTGGCCATGATGTAACCAGTGAGCCATTTCAAGACCTTTTGTCACCAAATTTTGCTGCAGAAAGAGCATATGTGAAGATCAGAAGTAGCGAAGAGGCCCTAATGTTATATTTCAAAGGGAACCCAAAGTTGCAAGTATGTTTAAAGTTTACTGCATTAATGCTAACATACTAATAAGAAGCACAATAAATAGTGATCTTGGTATGCTCAATGGCAGAAAGAATTTTAAAGTGAAACTAATTATGTATTAAACATGGAAAATTTATTCACTTTTAAGGTCCATTTTTGCTGTGGAAACCAGTCTCTGGGAAGCTGTCAAATTTCCTTAGCATCCTTATTGATCCCTAAAACAGATCAAAGTCCTTTTGTGCTAGAGGGATCTTTCCAGCTTTACCCACCAACTCTTGTTCATCATCAACTGTTATCATCAGTTTCTGCCAGCATGGCCCCAGCTGTGGGAGTGTCAGTTGTGCTAAAGAGGGAAGAAATTCCCCTGCAATTTGGAGCAACAAAACCTCAGGTAAAGGTATCACACTCATTCACATCGGAAAGTATTGTACCTGACTCAAAGTAAAATAAAAATATACTTCTGTGAGAAATTGAATTACAATTTAAAAACAATGAAATAAGACAGATCAAGTTTTTCTTTCTGAATTTCTACCAAAAGAAAATTTTTTTGTGATTTCTGTTAAGTTTCTTGTTTTTAACCATATTTTTATATTTGTGGAAAGTGCAAAGTTTTTTCAGTAATAGTATTTTAACAATTTTATGTGTGTTTTATCATTGTTTTACAACTCAGGGAAGCAAATTTCATATGTATTTTTTATGTATGACGATGAAAGGTTGCAGTAGAGTGCCATTGTTTTATGGTCATATTTTTTGCTTGTCTTTAAAAAGTATACTGTAATTATCCATGTGTTTGAATTGTTTGAATATCTTGATAATAATTAACCCTATGCTGCCAGCTCTTTTCTTAATCAGTTAACCCCTTCCATAGTTAACCAGAGCCAGCTGATAACATTACCCCTTAATTATTCTGTGCTAGCTAATTATTGAACAAGGTCAACGTAATGCTTATTTTTTAGTATTTGCTCAATAATTCTTCAACTATTAAGACTATGAAAATATGAAATCTAAAAGAAATTGCTGAGCATAGTTTGTTTTATGCATGTTTTCATCTGCATTTTATTTATCATTTAGTGAATAAAAATAGGAATATTTTTTTCAGTGATCACAATGAGTAGGCCTACCAGAGTATGTGTTTTGAGTCACAGTACATTGCTTGCTGAAGAATTTTAAAATAACTAATCCTTTCAGGCCACAGCCTTAGGCCGACTTAAATTTCCTCAACATTACCATCATAGTCCAGGCCGACTGTAGGCTAGATGTATTTCTTAATTTGTTAAGCCTAGCTAAGCCTTGGCTGACAACACCGTTTTCTATGTCAGGTTTCTAAGACTCCTTAATATCCAGCACAGCTGTAACAAGAATACAGTTTTTTAGCATTTCAAAATATCATATTTTCAACATGCAAAACAACTTCTAACAAAACAACCCCTGGTAATTTTCACATCAAAATGTGCAGAAATTCATTGGCTTTCCTATCCAGTAAACACTCTTTGGGTTGGTGTTATTGCAGCCGTTTTATGGTCGGTTTTTAGAAGACCTTCACCAATTTGCATTTATACGAAAGTGGCATGGCTGTACAGTTAGGCTATTCATATTTATGCGAAACCTTCCTGCACACCAATGGTGTGAAATCAGCAGCTTAATAGGGCTGAAAACTAAATGATTTGATAATCAAATTAGGTTCAAACAGCATAGCATAACACAATACACGCTGCAAGATCTTATCATTTCTCTTCTCTTGTTGATAACTGTAAAGCTGACCATCGATGCATTTTATCAAATTATTAATAAGCTTCTTGGAAGGACCAAAACGGATGTCGTACCACAGTCTGAAGAGTTACCATGACCTTGCTCATAGGTCTAACAGGTTTTTGCTTTGAAAGTTATACTAGTATCCAATTTGAGGATACTGATATGATCCTCAAACCACACATTTGAAAATTTCTCACTTGTTATAAAGACGCTGTCTCAAAATTAATTGTTTCCATGCCCGACAAATGCAGTATATTAGATCCATTTCCAACAAATATTTTGTAGTCTCTTAAGCCGGACACTCAATGCGTCGTAGGACTGTCGCACAAGGAATCCACATTTGCTTCCGGCGAGATAGACGACGCAACGCCGTCTGCTGATTTTCAGTGGCAATCTGAACGGATCCTCATTAAAAAGACGATCTGTTGGGTCCGCGTCTTCTCGTGGGTTCTTCTTTGCTTTGCCGTCGCACGCAGTGAGTAACCAGCTTTAAAGGCACTATCATTTCTATCTATCGATCGATAGTCAACTCATCCTTGTCAACTGGTGTATTTCCCAGTGACCTGGAATGTGGAATCATCAAACTACTTAAAAAAGAAGCCCACACTGGACCCTGATGTGCTGTCCAATTATCGTACTGTTACAAATACCTCGTTTCTCTCAAAAATTATTGAAAAGGTTGTTGTAGGTGAACTTGCACGATATCTGCATGGATGTGACCATTATGATCTATTATAGTCTGCCTACCGTAAACTTCATAGCACTGAGTCGGCAACCTTGAAGATTCATAATGATATGCTCCAGATTGACAAAGTAAACTGTTTTTATGTGTTCCTTGATCTATTGTCCGCCTTTGACACCATCGGTCATTCTGTCTCATTAACCGATTATACACTATTGGTCTTTGCGGGACCGTTCTCTCATGGTTCGATCCTTACATGTATATAAACATCAAGAAAGCAAGCTGTATACATCAATCACTCATCGTCGTCATCTGATGTGCTGTCCAATTATCGTCCTGTTACAAATACCCAGTTTCTCTCAAAATTTATTGAAACAGTTGTTGCATGATATCTGCATGAATATGACCATTATCATCTAATGTTTGCCTACTGTAAGCTTCATAGCACTGAGTATGCAACCTTGAAGATTCACAGTGATATAAATGCTGCAGATTGACAAAGGAAACTGTGTATTGTTGTCCGTGTTCCTTGATCTGTTGTCAGTCTTTGACACCATCAGTCATTCTGTTCTCATTATTACTGATTATACTTTATTTGTGTTTGTGGGATGGTTCTCTCATGGTTCAAGTCTTATAAAACATCAAGAAAGCAAGCTGTATACATCAATCACTCATTGTCATCATACGTTAACGTTGATTATGGTGTGCCACAGGGATCAACTTTAGGACCCTTACAGTTCTTTGTGTATATATAAATCAGCACTCTGTCACTTACCATATGTTTGCTGATGATACACAACTGCATATCTGTTTGAAGCCCACTGAATAGCAAGGTATAGTAGCAATACCAGGACTCCAAAGGAAAATTGCATTGGGTCAGTGCATCAATGGCTTTCTAAAAACAGATTATATCTTAACTCCAACAAAACTGAAACACTTCGCATTCATTCAAAATATCTGAATTCACCACCTGGAATTCCTTATGTGTCAGTGACTTAGTCATGTCTTCGACTGCTGTTCGAAACATTGGAGTGACTTTCGATGAATCCATGACACTTATCTAAACACATCAACACTACTTGCAAGTTAATGTATTATCATCTTAGAAATATCAAAAACATTCGTCAATTTCTGTCAGAGGATTCTGCCCTCAAGATTTGACTACTGCAATAGTATACTTTATGCTCTACCTGAAAAACTCATTCATAAGCTCCAACTCCACTTAATTCTGCTGCTCGTTTTTTTTTCCAGTACACCACAATATGATCATATAACACCTGTTCTAAAACGTCTACATTGGCTGCCTGTGAAGCAGAGAATCATATTCAAAATTCTGATAACTTCAAGGCACTACACAGTTCAACCCATCCTATATTTTTAACCTCATCTACCTGCAATTAAGTAACTGTTGCAGATGCCTATCTTCAGCTGACCTACTGTAACTCTTTTTCATGTTCCAGTATGTTGATTAAAAACGTACGGCGAATCACCGTTTCACGTAGCAGCACCAAAACTCTGGAACAGCTTACCTTCTAGTCTGAGATAAGTCTTCACCCTTGTTATTCAAGGAAAGCTTGAAGACGCATCTTTTCCGTACTTGCTATTAATTTCAAATATTCATACTTTTTTGTGTGTGCCCTTTATCTTTAGTTTTAGCTTTTTGAGTATTGTACGCTTGACTAGATAATTGGCTTACATCATGAGAGCATCTGTGAATTATGTGCCGGCCAACCAGCCAGCGAACGATGCAGATATGTTTGGTTTTTCTGCTCAGTCTGTTTATTCTGCATTAAAATAGTTTTTTGGTTACAATAGGAGTTGCTTTTTCATCACTTTTTATAATTTTTTAAGTGCATTGAGATTTCGTTATAATGTGTTATATATCGATATCAAATCCTACTACATTATATTATGTTATATTAATATGGGACCTAATACATTCCTATTACTGAGCGTCACTGGCACTGTCTGTTTACATTTTATACCCGCTATATAGTAAGTCATGTGACCAACCAATCGTAAAGGTCGAAACCTGAAGCTCTGGGTTCACAGGTCGAAGTGCTGTCTGTCTTTCTTTGGCCTTTAGGTCAGGCTGCAAAACAGGAGGGGGAGGGGGCTCGCCATTCCTCCTGTACAACATTCTGTTTTACCTTTCAATCTCCTGGTAGAGAGAGCGAGCAGGTGCAGATTTGAAGTGGTGGATCCAGAAATTTGAAATTGAGGGTGCTCAGAAAGGGACCTCCACAGATAGACACCTCAGCCCCACCATAGTTGCGGCTGAGGTAAGAAAGATTTAGATTACATCCCCTCTAGATGGCCAGAAATGGCACTCTCAGGATTTGAATTAATTTTTTTCTCCATTTTTAAAGATAATTTTGAAATATTTACGGGGGCCTGGGCTGGCTGGGTTCCCCTTCAATCTGCCACTGCATGGAGAATCCTCTAACATCCAGGTGATCTAGGGTTTTAAAAAAAATATTGCTTATTATGGAATTTCTATAAAAGATAAACGAACAGATACTTTAGATACGGTAGATGTCTTGATGGTTGTTATACAAGATTACTCAGACACGCCTTAACACCATAAACAACATAATGCAAATAAAAACCTGTATAGAGATTCCCCCCTATTTCAAGAACTTTGAGGGCACAAAGGTTAGCATGTGCTTCTGTGTTCGCCCGAAGCCATATTAGCCCTCATTTTTACCAGTAAAAATAACTGACCAACCAGTGAAAATTGTGTGTTGGTAGAATAAAAAAGCACTTATTAGGCCTATGTAGCCTAGGCTGGCCTTCTTTCAATAACTAAACATCATTCCAGTCCAAGCTTAGGCTATGATTATATGTATTATTTTTTGAAGCCATTGAACTCTGGGTAATTCCGTGTCAAATCAACCAGAGGTCCCAGGTCGACCGTCTCGGAATTTGATGAAACTCCATAAGAATGATCCACTATGTGAAAAACCAACACTTAAAAAAAATTAGTGTTATAGGTTTTGTAGTTTCCAGGTATTGACACCTCAAAAAGGGGGCGTGGCACTTCAAGATGCACAAACACAATTTCCTCCAACTTTGGAGTGCACTGTATCATGCCCTATAGAAATGGAAGACCATAATGTAATGGGAATGTACCTCTCAGATAGTGACTACAGCACAATCAGTGTGAATGTGTAAGATATAGGCTAATGTGGATTTAAACAAATGGTATTGTTCAAAATATGTGTCAAGGAAAGTAAGTATGATTGTTGGAAAAATGGTCAGCACTTCATTTTTATTTCTCACCCTGACCTTCATCTGGGCGAAGGTCTGGATCCACGCCTGGAGAGTGTCTTGAAGTTCGAGCACTGATATCATTTTTCCAATAAAGCTTATTTGTCTGTACAGACTAGCTCAGTCGGCTTATCTGGTGGTAGCCACTGTGTGTGTGCGCTGAACCGTGGAGATCTTTAGGTCCCCGGTTCAATTCCATCCCAGCCTCTCCTTGTGTTTCAGCTGGAGGACTGAAATACAAGTTACGATAGCGCACCGTATTTCAGATGAGACGTTTAAGCTGTTGGTCCCATGTGCAGTATGGCCCATGTGCATGTTAAAGAACGCAGTACACTCTTCAGAAAAGAGTAGGGGATTGTCTCCCGATGTACTGCCCAATTCACAACCAGAAGGATCCCGAGACAAGTCTTCAGACTTCCTTGGTTATCCTTTGTGTGATTCACACCGAAATACTTATCTTACCTTCACACCGAAATACTTATCTTTATCTATCTTATCTTATCTTAATACTAAATTTGTTTTAAAATTTATATGTCCACTGTTTAAATGCAATATGTTTATCTCAGCAGACTCCTCAACAATATGATAGAATGGAAAAAGATCAAGCACCGTCACCTGATGATAGCTACACTCCACCTGAAAGTACTCAGGTAGATGATAGTAGTACTGTGGATGAAGAGTATGGGAATGAAAAACATATGATAGAAAAAGGCAGAAGACACCAGAAGAAAGGGCAGAGAAGTAAGTGATTAGTTCATTTATTTACTGTATTATTATTATTATTTCTTAAATATTTTCAATATTAGTTTCCCTCTATTAAGGTCAAATTCTTGATTTTTCTTTCTTACCTGATTTTTCTGGATTACTAATTTTAAGTAATAATTTCAGTACACTGTAAAACCTCAAATTGAAGCCCTGAGCGTCTTCTTTTCTTTGCGAACCTTGGATGAGCTTCTTTTCAAGATGTGCTTCTTTTCGAGACTACTTTTGCAATAAAGTAAAGAGGGGGACTTCTTTTTAAAATGAATGCTGTAAATTTTGTGAATTTTTACTATAAAACAATAAATAAACATCAATTAATATCATGAAGTGTATTTAAATGGCATTAAATCACTAAAACTGCTGTATAAAGCAAAGCTTGTTTTTACTTTATTTTGTTTTCTGAAATTCATGTACATTGTTTGTACTGTACTATCTCAAAAAGAAGCCTGCGATGTCTTGAAAAGAAGCCGATGGGCTTCTTTTCGAGATGGGCTTCTTCTCGAGGGTACTTTTGCAAACTAAAAAGGGGGCTTCAATTCGATATGGGCTTCATTTCGAGATTAAGCCCACTGGGTTTCAATTCAAGGTTTTACGGTATTTGTTAATCTAACCAATGTTCTGACATTTTATTTCTGCAGGGTGTCTTTACTGTTGTGTGAATGTGCTTCTGTCATTCTTTTTTTTCTTTCATGTTTGATGTTAGGGTGTTGCCAAACCTTGAACAGGAACCTTGTTCCTCCTTGACTTCACTGCCTCCTCCTGTATTTGTTTAAATGTATGAGGAAATTAATATATTATTATTATTCAGTGAACAGCATATCACAAATTGTTTTTCGTAATATTTTTCTTACTTTATTTATTTATTTATTGGCGGATCACCTCTTGTCAGAGATCTTTTTTTTTTTTTTCTTTCTTTTTTTGGTGATTCGCAATCAGCGGATCACCTCATGGTATTGACAGAGATCATCATCATCTTTTTTTTTTTAATTCTTTCTTTCTCCCCAGGTTTTATTAGCACGATATTGCCATGAGCTATTAATATAAGAACTTCACGATCATTTGCCTTTCCCTGGAATAATTACAAGAAGCTTTTCAATATGATCAGTCATGAGTGATGTCATCTATGTGCAATTTTGCGTTTTTACATTATCGATCATATCCTAACCAATTGTCATTTTCAAATCGTATTAAGTAGGCATAAACTTCAGTTCATGTATCTTAATTTCTTGTGCGCGCGTGAAAAAGTAAGCATACTTGTGCGTCATAATTTTGAAATGACATCATCATGGTCTAAATGAATGTTTCTCTGACTCCCATCCCCTAATCCTTCTTTCTTCAAACCTACCGTCTGTAGCTCCAGCGTGTCCAGCGCATGACGACTCCTGCTAGAGTAAGGTAGACTAGTTTACAACACTAAGAGATGCAAGTATACATATCAAGGATCAACTTTGTGTGCCATTACTGTCTGCATGCGTCATGACGTGTGTTACTTTATTTAGTGGTAAAATATTTGTATAGCATGCCTGTGGTGACCAGTTCCTAACTGGTTGGGCTACAAATTTTGTTTTCCTGTTTTGCTTTCTTTTGCCGGCAAAGCTGATCACCTAACTCGTCCTAGTGACGAGTTCAAATCTAGTTTATTTTTTTTTTATTCTTCCCCCCCTTTTTTGTTAACAGCTTTTCTCAAAAACGACACAGTCTCTATCCTTGCTACTCGGCCAGCATATAGATCTACATTTGAAGTTTTGCATGAGAATTTTTGGGTGACATCACAGTCATGTGATGTCATCTGCGTGCTGTTTTGTCAAATTTTAGGAATGACCATAAATTCCTCACAAATATGCAATATTCAACTAAACTTGACACAAGTACACTTCATATCATGGATCAACTTTTCATCCTCGTCAACGTTTGCGCACGCGGTGCATATGCATGTTTCAGTCCATTTAGAGCATTTCTAAATTTTCAAAATTGTGCACTCCACGTGCACATCTTCATGCGCACAGCACATGCGGAAGCCAGGGATTAGTTTTTTTTTTATACATATTTTGGGTTTCTGACACTGTATTCACAAATAACCATTCTTTTTCAGTCATTTTAGGAGCAATAATGCCTTACACACACATCAAACATACAAATCTGTGCGCACGTTTGTGTCGATATACAGTTAAACTATGCCAAAATCATGCCTATTTTTAATCAGTTATAGCTCCTTAGGATGAGTGGTGACCCTCAATTTTTAATGCATATTCTGAAAGGACATGAGTTGTAGATATGATTTTATAGATCATTATGGCTAATCGGACATTGTGACATCATCATATTGCCATCTGAAATTTGAAAAACCTGAATTTTTATTTAATGACGTCTATTTTTTTACTTATTTAAGCGTATCTCGCTTATCCTTGATCGATCGTCTCACAAGTTTCAGTATATTATAGCTCAGACAATTTTCTTTCATAATTGTGCCCTCCATTTTAATTTTGATGATGTCATCATTGTCAAAATGAATGATTTTTCTTACCCCCTTTTTTCTTCCTTCAAATCTGTTAAATTCTATGATTTATCAAAAATTGACCCCTGCCAGATGGCGCAGACTGGTTTACAACACTGACACGAGTATACTTCATATCAAGGGTCAACTTCGTGTACCATTACCGTCTGCGGGCGTGCATCATAACGTGCGCACGTCATAACGTGCATGTACGTGTGCGTTAAGCTTTTTAAATCTCAAGATCACTTTTTGGCCATTTTGAGTATTTCAAAATTTTCTTGCTATGGAAAACTATCAGATCCTTTGGTAATGAATTTAAATGTAGTTATTATTATTGTTTTGATATTTTTGAAGTTTTCCATAACAGTTTTTGAGTCTATACTACTATAAAGAGTTAGAAACAGTGGCACCACTAAATCAAATTCAGCCACTAGCAGTTGCAGAAATCCAAGATGGCCGCCAAAATGGCCGCTAAATTTTAATATTGACTATAACTCCCTTAATATTTTTAGTCTATTTGAGATGCTAGGGGTAAACAGCAAAAATTCAAGATTGCCACTAAGATAGCTGCCAAATTTTAAAATTATAAATGACCTACCATATATCAGGGAAAAGCTGGCTCTTAAATATTGATGCTCTCACCATAATTATAATGAAATTATTTTTACAGAATATGTAGAATATAATTTTACCTCTATTGCTATGTTTTTTTTTAGATAAAGAACATGAAAGCAAAACTAAGGAATCACAAGAGCGCAAATCATCAATAAAAGCTTTAGTGCAAAAAAACCCCAAGGAAAATGTTACCACGTCAGATTATAACAGTTCCTGCCAAGCATCGTCTGAGCAGCACTTCAAAAGTCATATTAATCATCACTACTGTTTCTCCATTGATCTCCGCAGCATCAAAGATGTTGACATTCAGAATGTTGCTAATATTTATCTGAGGTTGTACTTATTCATTTCTACTATACTTTTAAGATGTATGTATTGTCCCATGCAAAATACCTAAACAATCATAAAAATCATTTTGGAATTAACTTGCCCATTTTTAAGTAACTAAAAAATTATCAACTTTTTATTATAATTATCCAGTTTTAAAATCGGGGTATACATTTTTTTAATTCAATAATTTCTATGTCGAAGTCTATAATTTGCATGTTACTTTAAAAATTCAGGACTACCAATATCTTTTCTGCACTGTATTTGAGATAATGACCAAAACATGCTATAATGTCAAACTTTTTGAAATCTATTTTATTGCATTAAACTTACCTTTATATATCTATATCATGCTATGCTGTTATTTTCCCCATTTTCAATGTTAAAACAACGATTTCTTACAATATAGTGATGGTTTCTGCCTGAGAAATGCCTGAAATCATAAATTTTGAAGGCTGATTTCTCAAATATTGTTCCTTAAACAGCTGTATGTTTAAAATCCGGTAACTTCATGGCAAAATATCGGATTTAAACCATTTTATAGCTCTCATTTTACTCTTTAACCCTGTATTAATAACTAACATTTTTGCGACGAGTGACTGGTTGGGCTTGTCTTTGCCACAGTTGTTTATGTCTCCATTCCTTCCTGCGTAGACCATAATTGAACATTGATTATTGTCATGTTACAAATAAAAAAGAATGATTTGTAAATTGAAAAGAAAAAAGAATTAACATAGAACAGGCAAATATTAATTTTTTTTTTTGTCCATGCAAATTGTTATAACTAACTGTATTTTTATATGCAGGTACACATACGCTTTTTTTGGAAGCTCATCTGCAATTCAAACACACCCTCCAGTTGAAGTACAAAGGCATAGTGAGGTGCTCCTACCTCATTCATTCTGTGCTTTTGATTTTGCAGCACCTGCAGAGCTGGTTTCCCAAACTTTTTTGAGGTACGTACTTTATTAGGCACAGCTATAAAAAGGAAAATGATTTTACATAATAATTTTTGACATTTTTTGGATCTGACGGGAACGAGTTGGTGCATGTGGGATCTGGGAAGCCTCCAGAATCTACAGTCATTTTATTTAGAAGTCTAATATAAATTATAAGTCAATTGTGACATCATCGCTGCAACTCCCAATGTTATTTGCCTATCCCTTGTAATATCCTGTTCTGTACCATCAGCTGTCTGTGTTGTTTTGAGGGAATGTTAGTACTTGTTTAATCTACTTAACCATAGCATTAATGACATAAGATTTATTTTGATCACTAATAACTTTTCATCCCTCTCGCATAGACGCAAAGAAGAATTGAAATGGATTCTTAGAACCAATTCTTATATCAACAGTTTAAATAAAGACTTAGATTACTTATCAGACTATTCATTTATGTATGTTTAATTTTCTTCTTGGTTCCCAGGCCTTCATTTAGCTTTTATCTACATTGTTTATTCCAAATTAAGTATCTTTACGCCGCCTTTAATTAGGTTCTATTGTTATTTTAATTTGTAACCAATACAATTTCCTTATACTTGCCTAATTACTTTGTATTTTTTGTCAGTTGTCCTCACACTAAGGAAGAACACAAGAGTGTTTAATATTTGTGATTTAATAAATTATATTGCTTCATAGTATGTTTACAACTCATAGCTGTTTTTTATTGCTGTCTTTCTATA